AAATGTTGTGTGTCCTAAAAAATAAATAGTAAAGTTCGAGTGTTTATTGCCCGTTTTTACGCTACGTAAATAAAAGTAAAATCGGAACCATTGAATAAAAGAAGTCAATAATTTGAAACGTTATAGAAAATTAACAATTAAATAACGAACTTCTCCAAGTCTTAGGTCTGTGATATAGTCCGGCTGCTTCAGTTATCTGATGTCTTTTCTGATCCCAATTGCATGCAACACCGTTTTTTTTTTTGCCGACATAGGGGTTGTAGCCAGTAACAGGCAAGCTGAGGCGTTTCCCTTTGACTTTTTTTTTCGTTTTTGTTGTTTTTATTCACCATCAACATCCTAAATACCTAGTAAGATAATTTAACCATGAATATTTCCCTGGATACTAAACCATTTTTTCCGATTTCAAAACCTGTTTTTGCCGCTCTCAAAACCGGTCATCTATGATCTCAAAACCTTTTTTTCCGATCCCAAAACGCACTTTTTTTGTGATCTCAAAACCGGTTTTTGCCCATCTCAAAACTGGTCCTCCTTTTTCTAAAATAATGAATTATTATTATTATTATTATTATTATTATTATTATTATCGTCCTCACGTAATGTTTGCTTAATGAATTATTATTATTATTATTATTATTATTATTATTATTATTATTATTATAATATCCGAACCTCCTGTAATCGACTTCATCTTATTATATTAGGGGCTTACCTTGTTCAAATCAATTAACAGAAAATAGGATCTTCACTTCACAGAAGCGTAACACGATCTCATGTATACAGTACAGTGATTCGAATCAACAACAGACCGATTCGCGCCGCGCTGCAGTTGTACGGTCAAATAATAGTACTCCTTTGCTCCATATGTCTTTCTGTGCGGGAAAGGGTAACTGGTCTGATTAGCCCCTTTCCGTTTAGCCCCCAACCAAAAGTCGATTAAGCCCCATTCACGCTCAAAGAACGAGAAATAGACAGTGTTTTGACCTCTAGTTGGGGGCCAACTGACTGGGGGCTAAACGAACGGATAACTGAGGATACCTCGGAAACCTCAGGATACCTCCCCGAGAAAGAGGTACATTCAATTGTACTTGCAGCGCGGGCTCATATTCGCCCTTTCAGACTTCACACCAGTCTCTCTCGATCACTCTAGAAAACATGGCGTCCAACTTGGTTTGGAATCGAATGCGGACTATGTTCAGGACCTACCTTGCTTTGGAAGAACACATCTTATACAACCTTGGGCTCATTTGTGGTGGTCAAAACTTCCCAAACGCCGCTTTGCTAGGGAACATGCCTCCCTCTATCGAATCAGATGGAAACTTGGACACAAAACACGACGGCTTTCTGTTGATGGCCGTCCCCAAAAAGAAGACTACGCCGCACAAAAAGAAGATAAGAAATCGACACAGGCAGCTCAAAAACAGAACAGACATCGAGATATGTGCAATCTGTGGAAATCACAAGCTCGAGAATCATTTGTGTGGACACTGCGTGGAAAGAATCAAGGAAGAGACAAAGAAGGTTCGGAAGGAGAGAAACGAGGACAGTATTGAATGGCCCATACCGGACATCTTGAAACAGTTCAGGACCTAGCGACCGATTGGCGTTTTCAAGGGCGAGAGGACTATTTGTCAAAGTGATACTTGATGACGTGGAAAGTGTTCGAGTTTCAGGGAATGTAAATCTTGGGTCACGCAGGAGTTTTTGGTAGAATGGAAATAATATGAGTTTAGCCAGAAATGCGATTAAAAGTCTGTTTTATGTTTCTCTTATTCTGCTTTCAGTTTTGCGATCGGTGATAGACATTTTGAAAACTTTTTTGTAATCCGATCTATTGCTTTTAACTGAATTCTCGGTGACCTCTGTTCACCTTCATCAGATTTCATCAATACAATATCAAAGTTCTCTTATTCATCATTCTTCTCTTTTCTCTTATTCATCATTTCTTTTCGTTGCAATTATGTCCATATGCGTAATCACTTAAAAGACAGTTGCTTTCAAATTTAAACCTGCAGAAATGAGAGTTGCTTTAAAGTTTTCTTAACAATACTTTTCAAATTATTTTAAATTAGAAAATAGCCCAAATAAAATATGCATGCTGACTCAGTGACTGGTTAAAAATTGTGTTTCTAGAACTTGATAGAAACGCAGAACTAGCATGAGCTGTTGATGTAATGGTGGCGTAAGCAAGATTAAAGTAAACAAGCTGTTTTCTTTTTTTTTGTTGCAGAATTTTCTAAAGGAAATAGAAAACATGTTATCTGTGTTTCTTTTGAGTTATAGAAACACTCATGGCAGATTGAGAGAACTGGAAAAAGTTGTGGAAACACTCGCCTGTCAGCTCCTGTTCCCAAACCACTCCTTGTTCTCCCAAACTTCCACTTGTGTTGCTATAACTCACTTGATAGAAACATGGTACATGTTTTCTATTTCTAATTGTTGATAACAAATAAATAAATTATTAATAGCACATGGAATGTAAAGAGGCAGAGAAAAGCTGAATGGTATCAGATACAAAAACAAAAGTTGAAATTATATTTAAAGACCAAGGGAATACTTCTAAACTATACTGCATACAGAGATTGTTATGCAAATTTTTTCACAGAAATACCTATATTTATCATTCTAGAGGTCCTTAAGTCACTTAAAAATCCTTCTAGAGATGACTTTATACGACAACTTTAAGAGTTCTCTAAGTCACTGGAGGGCCGATTTCAATATATTTTTTGTCAAGAAGCTGATCACAATATTGTTCCAGTTGCTGATGTTAGACTGTCAGCAATAAAATGGGCTCAAGTTCATATATTACTGCTATGTGTTTTTCTTTTATTTTTTTGTCACACTTTTCTTTCATTTTTTGCCTTAGGAAAATTATTCTACCAAAAAAAATACTGTAGCAGAAAAGAGACAATTAATTACACTGTGAAGACGTAATGAATTGGCCAGTAAAGCGTTTCCAGTTCTTGCTCATCTATGGATCAACACTACCTCTCCTCATCAGTTAGTTACTTATAAAATGCTAAACTAGTGATATCATGCTACTGCTCAATAATATTGATATTATCAGGGTTATGGTCATTTCTACCATAGCAACAACATCATAACACCTTAAACTTTAAATATTAGTTTTAAACCTGTAAGTGCATAACAAGAACTCAGCGAGGCATATTCTTTTATTATTGAACCATGATCAGCATGCAAAACAATACTATTTGCAAAGCCAAATATTTTCTGTAGAAGGAGGCTAAAAGTAATCTTAACATTTTGAATAAAAAGTTCACATTCAATTTAGTGATAAAAAATGGGGGCTACTGAGCTAAAAATTAATCATTTTAATAAGCTAAAGTTTAAGATTTAACCAAGAGTATTAGTTGTTCCTACAGTGTGATATCATCTGGGTGAGGTTAGTTCTGAAATGAACTTTTGTTGGTGACAGACAATTCGACAACCTGATCCGGGAAGACCCACTGACTTCTGCTCAGGCGAAACAACAGCAGATTATATTTTTACCAAAATCAAATATATTTTAAACAGGCGATTGATCTTGTTGTAGTTACCATGTAAGCTTCTTCATCAATGATTGGATTGCCGCGTGACTACCGTGTCGTGACACGTTACCCACTTGACGAAATATTAAACCACGGTCTTCGAGGTCAGTAATTCGTGAAGCATGCGTTCCGCGTTGTGCTAAATGAATATCAAAATTCAGCATCGGCACGAGCAAAGCGCGGCCGTTTTGTGTAAATATCCCTGGAACGCTGTTAAAATCTATCCAAGACATGACTAGTATCAATGTTGCTGAAGATGATCGATTGGTGTGCCATCACAAACCGGACTGTTTTAAAAGATCGAACTCTCTCGCAACGTGTACCTGTGATGACGGGCTTCTACTTTACGACAGTTCAGAACATTCTCCCCTCATCGCATACCAAAACTACAGCGAAGGGGCCGATGCCAAATATCTCACAGACATTCACTGCCACGAGACTAAACCCATGTACTCGAACGCAAGAGCGAAGAGAAAGCTTGTAGTTGCTAGCGTTGTATGCCTTCTTTTTGTGATCGCTGAAGTAATCGGTAAGTACTTTAACAAACGTATTAGACACAGAGACATGTAATATGCCAAAAAAAGCTTAGAGGTCTTGGAAATGTTTTGTGAACGTCTAAGCTGAGCTAACACAGCTGCACAGACCCGTCCTTAGCTGCTATCATTCGGCTTGTGGCAAGGGAATAATGGAGAGCAGATGGAAGAATTCTCGGAGGTTCGATTCAGTTCGATCTCTTAGCTCGCTTCGACGAATAATGTACGATGGTATTTGTAACGAAAAATTTTAAGTTAATTAACAGTTTTGGTGATATTACGCAATCGAGTTTTGGGGGAGTCTTTTTAATACCACTTGGAGAAATAAATATACAAATCAAAGTGCAGCAAGGAAAGAAATAATTTCGAGCAATTTATATTGGGTTGAAAATGTTTACTTTTTTCTTTCTGTTGGCGTGAAAAAGTTAATTGGTAACTGTGGAATGAGAGACCATCTAAAAAAATAAGCTTATAGAGAAAGAAAAACCCGAAACGAAACACGCTTTGTCCGCTTTCTTCAAATCATGATTAGTGACGCTCGCGCTGTTCGTGCCATGACCTCGTACAGTGTGCAAGCTTATGCCCGTTTCACAAACGCCGGGCTAAAGTCGTGCCAAACTAAATTCAATTTGGCTCGACTGTAGCACGACATTGGCACGACTTGGTTTCAAATATCGAGTTTAATTCACTGGGCTTTTACAAAAGAGACGGTTTCGAACCAGCGGTATTTATGTGTTCACGGTCAGCCTCCTGCACTCTGAAATCAACTTTTTGAACTCATTACGTAAGCTTATCTGGTCAACGTTGAAATGGAATGTAGAATCATGACGCAGGTTTAGTTCGTCCAACACCTTCCTTTACTAATCACTGTTTCTACAATTCTTGACATTGGTAAAGACAAGATTCTTCTTGAAATGCTCCTTGCTAACTATGATATCAACCATATCATTCAGATAACTTTTCCTTCCATGTTGCTTTCTGTCCTTTCTTCACCTTTTTTCCACTTCTCTTTGATCTCAAATTTCCCACCTCTTTCTTGTCTTCACCCAACGATTGGCTATCTCCTTTGACATCGGGATTTTCACCAAACTAAACAGGTGATAAGGTAAGGTAAGGTAAAATCTTTATTAAGACACAATATTTCCTTCAGGACTTAACAATATTGAATTAAATTAATCTAACTACCTAACTAAATTAGCTTGACTACCTAACCACGATGAACAGTTTGAGCTTATGTGTATTCCTTCATCCAGATCCAGAGAGCAAGAATCTTCTTCAGCCTCTGAAACATTCCCTGGTAGAACAGGCAGAAGGATTTTCCTGAATTGCCGCCATTTTCTTTTTAAGCTCGTACCCAGGAACTCTTTCTATGTGCATATAGCCCCCTTATACGGGCTATCTAGGTATGTGCAGCCCCAACGGGTAGGGTTTTTCAGTTGTTATGGTACCGATTTTGGCCATTTTTGTCTTAAATAGGGTATGGTTTTAGCACTCTAGTCCTGAGTTGGGTATATATGTTTCTTGGAAGAAGCTACTTTTTCATCAGTATCAATAGGACTGTCAACAAAAGCCCTTTATAATTTATGTTTAGGGCAACTGTGCCAGCCGCAACGGTCATAAATAGGGTATCAAATTTTTGGCCGGGTCATAAATAGGGTAGCAAAAATTGCAGATTTTGGTCAAATGGGGTAAGGTTTTTGGGAAGTGGGCTGTACATCCCCACCTAACTTTTAGGGAGTACTCCCCCCCCCACCCCCCAGGCATGCAAGAAACTGGTTTGTCCACTTCTATAATGTAGTTATAATTTATTTATTTAGTTTGACATGGCAACAGCACGCTGTTTGAAACCATGCCAGGCATTAAGTCGTGTAGCACAACAGAGCTTGCTGTAAAATAGTGAAAAGAGGTTACATTTATTCAGGTTTTACTTTCCTTTAAGCCAAGGCAGTGTATATAATTTAACTGACTTATTCTGAGCCAGTAGACCATTTTCGTATTCTGGGTATTGGACTGGGACTAGCTTGCAATGGAGGCTCATGCGGGGAATATCATTAAAAAGATATAAATGTACTTTGCATGTGAAAGGACTCCGCATATTTGCCTCAGTTGCATGCTAGTTCCAGTCCAATACCGAGAAAACGAAACTGGTCTATTTAGGCTCTATTTGCACCGCTCTCTTGGGTCCAGTCCCTGAAGATGTTAGGGATTGATCATGGAGAAGTAGATGGTAATTGATCAGCCTAAGCCCAACTCAAATAGATAAATTAATAATTCTTAAAGAATAGACTTTTCCACTGCTTTGATCGGTTGGCTTTTACATATTCAAAGATGTCTTCAGTTGTATTTGTAAACAGCTGTTTCTTGTAGTATGTAAAATGTGAAAGTGTTTTAATTCATTTTACAAGTTCGGTGTTCCCAGTTAGTTTTTTTAAAGCTAAATATCCTTTGACACTCATTCTTTCACCCAAATTAGTTGTGGTTGATTTTGCAATCTTTTCTAAAGAAATATTGGAACAAAAACCCATCAGAGTAGCTGACTTTCAGTTCAATTGCAACAAGGTTCTACTGTAAATACAACTTAGGGCCTGTTTACATGGTCTCAGGATACCTGAGACAACCCTTCCCGCGAGTTACAACTTTTCTTCATATGAACACTTTGGCTCGCCTAACTAGGACAACTCTTGGCTTGGTGCATGCCACAAAATTCCTAGATTAAGGGTTTAAAGCAGAAATTTTTATCAATAAAGTGAAAATTAACTTGCCAAAACCCACTGTGATTGGATTTCTATAGTATAGAGCATCATAATTTTATGTCAATTATAAGCTAGCAGGGTTTTTTCGTGGACCAGTGCTTGTATGTGTCAATTTTGTATTTGAATCTTTTCTTCTACATTCCAGGACTACTTTTGGAATTTCATGAAAAAAAAAAAATTTTATAAAAGCTTGTCATGATTATTATAATAACAGCCGTGCTGGAAATACGTTGGAACCCATTAACCCGGTCTCCAACAGGTCACTAAAATCTGGGCGTATTAATAAGATGGCCGTATTAAAGGGGTTCCATAGACAAGAAAATGGCTGGCTGAGCTTTTCTCTGGGTCAGAATATAGTGGCTGTAATAACGAGGTAGCTGTATTAATGGGTGGCTGTGAGGCAGGGTTCCACTGTAACAGTTGTTCATTGAACATTGTCTGACTGAATTTGTCAAATTGTGTGGCACTGAGTAATTTTACTGTATGATCAGTCATCATGACTGAATGCCAAAATGACTCAGCTTTTAGTCATGAGGATCTTGTTTGCAGATCATGTTTCCTTTCTTTGAAACATGTTGAAAATCACAACCTGTACTGATCCGTGCTTTGTTACAAGGATGGGTGTCTCACTAGTACAGTCATGCAGTTTACATGTCAATTTTCCAGGATATTTCACAAATTTCCATAACTTGTTTTGGGTTTTCTTCCCACAGGCGGCTTACTTGCTGGAAGTCTAGCCATCATGACTGATGCAGCTCACATGTTATCAGACTTTGCCTCATTTCTTATCAGTCTTTTCGCCATCTGGGTTGCTCGCTGGCTGCCAGATAAGAGAAGGACATTTGGTTACTACAGAGCAGGTAATACATCTCACATCATTGCAAGCACATGTTTAATAACAGTTTTTTTTTTTCATGAAAAATTCACAGAAATAAACTGATATTAAATTTTTTTGCAGATTACCAAGGGCTACATTTGTTATTTCTGTATTATATGTGCAGCAAATCATCTGTTTTGATATTAATTTTTCTAATCTATATCATCATCATCAAAGTTTTTGTTTTGGTTTGAACCCCTATTACCCCTGATTCCAGTTTAGCTTTATTCTTTCCTTGAGGCCCTCATCCTCAATTCAAATTTTTCAAGTTCATTGGTTGTAATTCTGCGTATTAAAATCTTTTCCAGTCTTACCCATCCTTATTCCTTTATGGTTTAGTATTATTGCTTTGGTTTTTTTCCATCTTATTGAACTAACTTTTCAATGGTAATTTTGTGGCCAGCTAAAAGAGTTTGAAATATTGTGACTGAGCTCCTTTAAAACGGAAATGACAGTTTTTTTGCATTGTCCGGAACACCTTAAGTGAGATAAAAATCCATGATTTTCATCCCAAAACAAGACAATGAGCATCCCCAACGTTTTCATATGGGATCCCTCCCCCCTCCCTCTCCTGGGATGGAGGTGCTTATAATTTATGCATTTTTCTAACTCCATGTCTGGTTTGTTTGGTTGTTGTCTTCAGAGGTGCTTGGCGCTCTTGTCTCAGTGCTTATCATCTGGGTGTTGACCGGAGTGCTGGTGTACCTTGCTGTACAGAGAGTCATGACAAGAGATTTTAATATAGATGCCGATATCATGCTTATCACAGCAGGGGTGGGGCTAGGGGTCAACATATTGTAAGTATTTGTAATCGCAGTTGTTAATTTGTAGACTTGTTGAATGATTAAAGGTCATAATTTTGGTTTTGATCTGTTTATTTCATGGTCCTGTAAAACAGGTGAGCTCAGTAAGGTTGACTGATTATAAACAATTATTGGATGAGGTTTTTGTGATATCCAGAATAATTGAGGTCAAGGTAGGGATTATCAGCCGAAGCTGAAGGCTGAGGCTGATAACCCTTATGGAGACCTGGATTATTCTGGATATCACAAAAAGCGAATCTAATAATTGTTTTATTATACATTGAACAGAAAAAAATGAAGGTCATGTTTTTGCTTCTTCACTGACGGCAAGCAGCACAAAGCATGCAAACTTGACATGATTACCCTTAGAAATCATGCACTGCAGTCATACATTACATGATTACCCGTGACCTTGAGTGTCCATGACATGGTTATTGTATAATCTGCAGTTATGATGTCACGGGTGCTGATTTCAAAAATTCACCATACGCTTTTGGCCAATCAGAAAAGGGATAGTGAGTTAAATGTATAATAACATTGAGAATCCTTCAATCCTTGTGTAATTTTCATTTCTGACAAAAATCCTTCTACGTTTCAAGTACAAGAGGCACCTTATCCTTTAGTTTAAACCTCATAATGTCATTCTAACATCAGTGTTTGTCTGTAAAATCCTTGCATGTGACCATTTAACTAAGAGCTATTAGTTTGTGCATGAAACCCTAGAGTGTGACCATTCAAATGAAAGCTACCAAGCAGTATGTGGTTCATGTGGTACTGTTTGTTATGCTGTACAAGATGGTACTAACTTTGAAGTCTGTGGATGAAATCCTAGCATGTGACCATTGAATTGAAAGCTACTGGGAAGTACTTTCTCAGTTGTGGCATTTCAATTTCAATTTATGCTGAACCACATGAAGAATTTGTTTTTTCAAGAATGTTAAAGTTGCATGATACAATCATCTTATTAAAGGACTACTTATTGTAGGTACCAATTAAGCATACAAAAGAAATGCTTTTGGAAAACGAATTATGTTGTACACAACAGTTAAGTTACATCTAAGTTTGACATGGCAGTTAAAAAGGCATGAGGCATGTGTGATTGGTTATCAATCATGTGAAATTTGACAGGCAGAAAGATGGAAGTTCACATCCCAAGTATGACACAGTTGGTATCTTTTAATTAAGTTGGAAAATGTTTTCAGTAGGTACATGTCTGTCCCGAGACAAAACTCCAAGTCAGGAGCTCCGAAGACAATTAGGAACTGCTTGCTTGAAGTTTTGTTCATGATATGTAGTTATCCCCAACTTTAAGTTCCTCATTCTTTACTGTTTTCTTTCGCTGTTTTGCATCAGGTTAGGGATTATTCTCCATCAAACAGGCATGGGACATAACCATAGCCATGGAGGAGGCAGTCACAGCCATGGGGCAAGTCACAGTAGCCATAATGGCAAGGTGGAATCTGTTTCTACAAATCGGTTAACAAGAAGTGGAAGTTTATCAACTGAAAAACAGAACATCAACGTCAGAGCAGCATTTATTCATGTTTTAGGAGACATCGTTCAGAGTGTTGGTGTCCTCATTGCAGCATATATTATTAAATTTAAGGTAAAACTCACCTTTATACATGCGTGTACATGACTTAAGCTTGCCTCAAGTTTTAGAGTAGCTAAGAAGCTAATATCTTGAAGAAAAATAACATCGTAAATATAAAAACAACAAGTACCACTACTAATTATTATGGTGGACTACATTATAAAAAAAAAGTTAGCAAGACTAACATAAGTTTACAATTCTATGATTTTACCATTTTTCTCTCCCTAACATCTATGTCAACTCTTCATAATTATCTGGGAGTCTCCCAGCAGACACAGACTAAATCTCCCAAGTCTTTCATACAGGTTGCCCAATCTCCCAGATACAAAGGAAAAGCACTTGAAGTACCTTTTTAACCGCGCGGCCATGGGCCGAGCGCGGTTCATGTTCTATCCTTGGTTTATTATT